CACTTTTGGAAAAAAAAGAGAGGGAAGGAAAAAAATATGGACGGGAGACGTAGTCAGGGACGTGGTCGAGGCCGTGAAACTAAACGGACCCCAGAACCTAGAGCAGAAAGGGAAACGTCTGCCGAACAAGAACAAGGACCGAGAGTTGCAACCGGAGACCAAATGGCGACGACAATGCAACAAATGACGGATATCTTGGCAAGATTAGTAGATCAACAAGGTCAAATACCCGTAAATCAACCCCGGAACCCTGAGACGGGTGAGGATAAGGCTCTGGAGCGATTTCAGAAGTTTGCACCTCCAAAATTCGTTGGAGGGCCTGATCCGGACATCGCTGAACAATGGCTAGAGGCCATGGTGAATATATTCACAGCTTTGAATTACACTGAACAGAGGCAGGTGAACTTCGCAGTGTTTCAATTTGAGGGATCGGCTCGGGCATGGTGGAACGTAATTAGAACAAAGTGGGAAAGAGAACAGACTGTCTGGACATGGGCGAATTTTGTAAGAGAATTTAACGAGAAATACCTCCCACCCTTAGTTCAAGAAAGGAGGGAGGACGAATTTATTGGACTACGCCAGGGGACCTTAAGTGTGGCTGAATACGAAACGAAATTCACGAAACTATCCAAGTTTGCTTCCGAATTAGTAGCCACGGAACCGAGAAGAGTGAGACGGTTTATACAGGGACTAAATTTGGACATCCAAGAGGCGTTAGCAGCAGCGCAAGTGAATACGTTTACGGAGGCCCTTGAGAAGGCTCAACGAATCGAGAATACAAAGGCACAAGTAAAAGCCTCCCAAACTCGGAAAAGAGGTGCAGCTGGTAGTATGAGTGAGGAACGAAGTGAATCGATAGTCCCTTCCAAAATGCAGAAAGTAAACATTTTGTCCTACCCGCCCTGGACGGTAGGGGCTGGAAATGAAAGGTCTACCAAAGGAAGCCAAATCGGATATGGGGAGACTCCTCCAGAAAGCCAAAAAATGGCTTCCTACTTGACTTGTGGCTATTGCGGGAAGGCCAACCATACTGAGAACGATTGTTGGCGGAAAGGGCGGAAGTGCTTGATTTGTGGGAGTGGTGAACACCAAGTTAGCAACTGTCCGAGGAAACAGTCACGTGAAAATAGTACTCAGCAACTGGAGGGCACTAAATCAAAACAAACGAATGAAAGAGGGAACCGAGCAAAAGTACCGGCAAGGGTATATGCCTTAGACAACCGACAAGCTCCTGAGCCATCTGAAGGTAAAAATTTCGAGGACGAAATTTCTTAAGGGGGAGAGAGTGTGAGGACTTGCAAATTCCTTATATATTTCTTCAAAAATTTCCTTTTATTTGAAAATTATTTGGAAAATATTATTCTATACCATCTTACTAATCAATCACCCTAGAACAATGCCAATGATCATAGGAAATTAGGGTTTTCCTTTTCGATTTCAAATCGAAGTGAAATAGGGTTTTTCGTGTATCCGTAGTGTAATTATCCGGTACAGAGTGAGGATCAAATTTGGTGCTTAAGAGTGACTTTTAGGTGAGAAATAATATGTGATTAGAAACAATGATATAAAGTTAGTGAATAGGAAGAAAAAAAACCCTAGTACGTGTTATTTAAGAAAATCGGCCCGAACCGACGGGTACCGTTTGTTACCGAGTGAGTACACCACTTGACCACCACTTTATTACCTTAATCTCCTTGTTTTAGTTGAGCTAATTAGCTCTTAATTAACCCTTAAGCCAGCCACCATTATTGACTAAGGAAAAGAGAGATATTTTGGTGGACATATTTGGGATTAAGCCATGTGTCACAAATCCAACCAAGGTCTTGACCAAGACCTTTGACCAAGACATTTTCCTTCCTTTTTATCTTCTTCTTGGCTCCATTTTCTTCCATTTTCTTGAGCTTGGCCGAAATTTTAGGGGAGGGAAAAAACAAGAGAGAAACCTTCAACTCCAACTTCAACTTGTGCTTGAATCTTGAGTTCCAATCAAAGTTTGTACCAACTACTCCATAAAACTTGCTCACTAAGGAGATTTAAAGGCTTTGGTGGAGTTGTTTTGGAAGCAAGAGACCTAAGCTACTACCTTTTGTGAGTTATCAAGGTATGGTGTGTAAATATCCATTGTTTGTTTTCAATAATGGTGAATTCATGACTTGTGATGGCTAAAGAGATGTTTTAGTGGAAGATTTTATGATTTTTGGTGGAGATTGATGAATTGTTATTTGATGCTTGATTTTTCTGATTTCATATGTTTGGTGTTGGTTAGTCATGGATTGTTGGTTAGTTATAGTGTAAAATGAAGTTGATATATGTTGGATGTGATAGATTGTACAAAAAATTCTGGTTTGGGGCAAAATTTCCAGGTTAGGGTTTCACACAAGCCTGTTCTGTCCGAATTTATTTCAGCATGTTAGAGGCCGAATTGGCCTTAACACAAAACATGAAAGTTGTAGAGAATGATGTTTTCTAGTGGCCTGTAAATTTTCAGCCCAATCCGAGCTCGGTAGCCTGAGATAAGATGGAAATACCCAGACTGGTCTAGGTAGGAATTCAGTGAACAGGGTTGTCTTTTCACCCAATCTGACCGTGACTTTTCACCATGATCCTTACCGAATTAGATTTTGGCCAAAACATGAAAGTTGTATCCAATGGTATAAAATAGTAGCCTACAAAATTTCAGCTTGATCCGACCACTGTAGCATGTGAAATGACCGAAATACCCTTGACTGTCCATGAAACCTGTTTCGCGCCCAGAATTCTGTTTTTGTGTAGTTTTCCATTTTTGATCATGAAAATGCATGATTTGGCCATGGAGGTCTTCATAAGAAATGTAGGGTTTTGTTTTAGCTTCGAAACACCATAAGATACACTTCAATCGGACTTCGGTAGCCTGAATTATTGCTGTTTAACAATTGTGCGGTTAGCCAACCTGTTTGTGAGTTTCTGGTTTCATATATGTCAATTTTGACCTAGTTGCACTACAAACGGGACTGAGTGACCTTCTTCAACATTGTAGCCCTATCTGTTAGCTTCGAAACGGTGTGTCTTGAACCTTCATCCGATAATCGTAGCGCCAATGGTGCCAAAACCGCAAAATGGTGTCAAAAACTGTTTTTATCCGGAAATGTTTCTAGCTTGATTTTTGTATTTATTTTTGTATTTATATGACTTTAAGCCTAGTGAATGGCTTTTGGACATGAGATTATTCTATATAGATGTTGGGACTGTTTTGAGGAAAATAATGAAGCCATTAATGGCTGGAAAATAGGTAAACACAAAGGACATGCCGTCCGTTTATCTTCTTGTAATGTGAGCAAGTTAAAGTAATTTTGCGAATGTATTTTGTGACGAATTGGACGTATTTACTGAAAATGTTACCGGCTCTTTCAAAAGGTGGCCGAGGGCTAAATTTCTATTTGAACCTGTATATTTCCGCTTGGCAAATAAAATGATCATTTTACCATTCTAAAACCTAATACCTCTTTGGGTTGAAATTCCAAACGTTTACTTACTGTTTACCAAAATATAGAGGTTGACCTAGGGTTCTCTTGGCCACAAGTGAATAACTTTTAAGTGAAGTTTTAAGAGTGAAAGTGAGATAGTTTTGCCACCTTTTCATGATTTTCATCAAGGCATATAGTCTATTGATTTTGAGCTACATAAACGATTCTGGAATCAATACTTCTTAGCTTACCTTATTGGTTTTCGATTTGTCGTTGGTTAAAGTGTTTTCTGCCGGAAATTTCATAACCTTTTGAGTTTGGTTTCACGGTTGGTTTATAAACCCTAGTAATTTCCGTCCACGGATCCATATGCTCTATTGACACTTTAAAAGTCATTTTATACGTTTACTCGCGGGTAGTTGGGTAATCCTTGTTTTCATCCAAATCATGCTAGATGGATTGTAATGTGTTCTTTGTTTACTTTTAGGTTTCATTGGTGATTGAGAAGTGGACGTTATTTTGCGTGTATAGGTGAGTGTTCCTTGTTTGTTATGTTTCATGATTATATGGCTTGTATGAGTGATTGATAACGTGTTAAATGTTTTCAATGATTGCCAAAACGAGTTTTCGAGGCAAGTGTGTACTTTATCGCATTGGCCTAAATGATTGTGAAATTTTCAATGATTGAAATGTTAATTGCGCATGAATGTAAGCCTTTTGGCTGAACTGGCCACTGCCCCTTGTTACCAGTCGTCTCGAGCCAGAAGCGGACTCGATCGGGCGATTAGGGACCTGGGTGAACGTTTTGGTATACTCGAGTATTACCTTGTAGGTTGGTGGAGGTTGGTGGAGCCTGGTGAATGAATGAATGAACGAATGAATGAATGAGGGTTTTACTTATATACAAATGCATTTTCAAATGATTGAAGGTATGAGGGAACGAAGGGAGAATGAATGAACGAATGAATGAACGAATGGCTCCTTGTGAGCACGTATCCTTTTAATGAAGGTGTTTATCGCTTTCTTTTGTATTTGAATTATTGGTAACATGTAATGAATGCATTGAACTTCTTATTGCCTATGTGTTCGGAACCTCACTGAGCTTATAGCTCACCCCTTTAGTTTGTTTTCCTTAACAGGGGAAGGCAAGTAAGGACGAGAGCCGGTATAGACTAGCTGGGTCTAGCTCTTGGTTTTCTTTTGTAATGGTTCTCGCTCTAGTGCTTAGCACGGGCTGGTTGTATGGTGAATTGAGAACCTCTGTTTATTGACGGTTGTACTTCCTTCTGAGATATCTATGTATATAAGTTTTGTTTTAAATTTTGGATCCTCGTTTTGTTTTTTTTTTCTTGTGGTTCTATTTATGATTTGTGTGAGTGAACGACTGAGTCCCGGCGAGAGTTGGGCAGGCGGTCCGCCGAACCCTTTGGTTTGCCTTAGGGGGAGGTGGGGCTGTCACAACAGTCACCAAAGATGGCCTCCTGCGGGTAACCAACAGCACCATATTACAAACTAGGTACGCCTTCTATCCTAATCCCATCAACTTCAAGACCACACCTAATAGTTCAGCTTTCTTCTTTTCCACCCAATTTGTGTTTGCTATAGTACCCGATGTCCCAGGCGTGACTGGTACGGGAATGGCATTCGCGATTGCACCAAGAAGAAAACTTGCACAAGTGCCTTCCTATCCGTTGCTTGGCCTCTTCGATACAAACACCAATGGAAATCAAACAAATCACGTTTTTGCTGTGGAGCTTGACATTTACCAAGACCAAGATATTGAAGATATCAATGACAACCATGTTGGTATTGATATTAACTCTGTGATCTCCAAGGCATCCGCACCAGCGAGTTACCAAGCTAATAACAAGAGTTCATTTGACAACTTAACTCTCATCAGCGGTCAACCGATGCAGCTTTGGGTGGAATACGACGGGGTGGAGAGGAGAATCGATGTAACATTAGCTCCAATGGAGGCTACTAAACCACATACTCCTCTTTTGTCTTTGAAGTATGATCTTTCGCCAATTTTACAGCAGACCATGTATGTTGGCTTTTCGGCAGTCTCTAGTCCACTCAAAACAGGAATAACTAATTTTATACTTGGATGGAGCTTCAGGATGAATGGCGTTGCCCAAGCTCTTGATCTCTCTCGGCTCCCCAAGCTACCTCGGATTGGACATAAGAAAGTGTCTAAAATTTTAACCATGGGATTGCCCCTGATTTTTGTACTGATGTTGATAATACTAACATCTGGAGTAGCTTATTATCTATGGAGAAAGTGGAAGTTTGCAGAAGTTCTGGAAGAATGGGAGCTTGCTTATGGACCTCACAGGTTCAAGTATAAGGATTTATACATTGCCACTGAGGGGTTCAGAGAAAAAGAATTGTTGGCAGAAGGCGGGTTTGGCAGGGTCTACAAAGGCATTTTGACAACAAACAAGGTTGAGGTTGCTGTCAAGAAGGTCTCTCATCAAGGAAGACAGGGAATGAGAGAATTTGTTGCAGAAATCATCAGTATTGGTCGCTTACGCAATAGAAATTTAGTACCATTCTTGGGTTATTGTCGGCGTAAAGGAGAGTTACTTTTGGTATACGAGTTCATGCCCAATGGTAGTCTAGATAAATTTTTGTATAACCAGCCCAAGTATATCCTCAACTGGAGCCAAAGATTGCGAGTCATCAAAGGTGTAGCATCAGGGTTGTTTTATCTACATGAAGAATGGGAGAAAGTTGTGATCCACAGAGATGTAAAAGCCAGTAATGTATTGTTGGATGCTGAACTGAATGGAAGATTAGGAGATTTTGGCCTGGCAAGGCTATACGATCATGGAACTCTGCCTCAAAGCACCCATGTAGCGGGATCTTTTGGGTACCTTGCCCCTGAGTATAGTAGGACAGGGAGGGCCACAACGAAGACTGATGTATATGCTTTTGGGGCCTTTTTGCTAGAGGTTGCATGTGGAAGAAGGCCAATAGATCCCCGAGCAGTAGATTGGGTATTTTTCTGCTGGAAAGAAGGGGATATTCTCCAAGCGGTTGATCAAAAGCTGGGTGCTGAGTATGTGAAAGAGGAAGCAGAATTGGTGTTGAAACTAGGCTTGTTATGCTCTCATTCAGAACCAAATCTTAGGCCAAGTATGAGGCAATTTCTGTTGTACTTGGAGGGATCAGTTGCCCTGCCTGATTTATCATCACTGGCCATGAGGGGTTCTGCTGTTGGTTTTGACGTTTCCACAGAGAAATGTTTTTCACATTCTGTAGCAGACTATCTTCTCTCTGATGGTCGGTAATTAAAATGCATATCTTTCTGATTTATTAATTTTTTTGTAAAAAAATTAATTTTCTGGCATGTCTGTTCTCTCTCTTTATTAGTGTGGCTGATCTCATATATGTAAGGTTAAAATGTTGTTAGTTGATTCTTTTCTCCTTTCTGTATAATCTATTATCTAGTTCCTATAAGTCTTGTAAGAAGATTCATTAATAGCAGCTATGCATTTATCATCCCACCATTCTTGAGAACAAGAGCAAAGGCAGCCATCAAGTGACCAAAACTCGAAAGCATTTGGTTTTTTATTCAAGGACTCACATTATTGTCACATGTTGAAGACCTCATGCTTCTATACTTGGTAGAAATTTTTAATCTCTTTCAATTCTTCCATCAAACTTCAAAATTAGCTTGATAACAATCTCGCAAGTGCTCATTATATGTCCAAGCACCCAAAATTATTACCATGAAAAACACAACTCAGATTTATTGCATGGTAATTGGCTTGTTACCTAACAAACTTGATCTCCGTTTTGATCGGTCATTTTTTTCAAAAATAAATTCTTCAAATATTACAGTAATACACAGTAATTCAAAAAAATATCACATTTATATAATATATCAAACATTTTTTAAAATTTCATATATACTGCCATAGTAAAATTTTTCAAAAACACTTCCAAAAACTGCTAATCCAGACAATAAAAAAATCCCAGCAGCTTGCAAATCATTGAAAAGTACTAGTTTCAATCCAAATAATTTTTTCTTATGATGTAAACAAACGAATGCATGATGTAAATGGATTTAAATAGGATGTAAAGTATAAACAAGTGGGAATGCGGTGTAAAAAGATAGAAAATGACCATTCTATTTTCAATTAATTTCAGCTAAAACTTATGAGGGGAAAATCCTTCAATCCTAACGTGCACGGTCTTGATTTGAAAGCAAGTCGTTTTACAGCGTCTTGACGGAAGACTGTGGACAATTCTTTAATTAGTTTACTAAGTCAGTCTTCAAACTACAAAGTCCCATCGGCCCAATCTTGATCCATATCCGCTTCCACCCTGACCTTGTTTTCCAACAATTATTCGTAGATGTGGACTTCTTTTCTAGAAAAATCAATGCTCCTACAAAAGCTCAATGTGATGGGTCCCATCCCACGCCCATTTCCATTCTTTAAACAATGTCTCCCAGTACTCAATTACCGACCCACTAACCCAAGTCGGATGAGGGGCAGAATGACCGCTCCTAAACTGTTCACAGCCAGATTTTGACAAAAAGAAATGTGCGATCCAAATCACTAGTTATATATTAATTTTTACAATGTGTGTCGAATCCATAAAATTTTGTTCTAAATTTATATATTGTGCAAATAAAGTTACATCGTGTGCAACCAAAATTACACGCTGTTAAAAATGACCAAAACCGCCAAGAACTGCAACCGTTCCTGCCCCTTGTCCACCCAAGTCATCCTTTTGACTTTTTTCATCTGTTCTTTCATAGGTGTTGATTTTTATTCATATTTTGTTATTTATATATCGAAGAAGAAAACAATCCATATACTCAACTACAAGTCTATAACATAAAATATTAAGAAAAAAATAATTAAAGTTCAATCTGAAAATCAAAGTATTACAAACCTTTACATTAAAAAATGGCTAGGTGGCCGGCATTGCCATATAGTCCTCTACTTTTCTTTAGCTTGAAAATTAAACACAACTAAGGCTATGTTTGATAAAACTAAAGTCAAGAATCTTAAATTTTGAAATATGAAAATTAAGTGCTAAAAATATTAAATTGGTAAATTGATAAAGCTATTTTTGTTTAATAACTAACTGAATTATAACATTGAATTGAAATATCACACAAATATTATAATTTAAAAATTATCTTTATTTGTACATTCAGAGGAAAGGAAAATATGGGTGTGGGTGTGTGTGAAAGAGAGAGTATAATGAAATAATCTTCAACATTAAGTAAAGTTATTAAACTGACCTAACTGAAAGCCTGTTTACTCATAAATGAACAGTTGACAAGTATCGAGCATATACAATAATAAATACCTACTCAACAAAAATATAAATTTTGTATATAGTGGTGAGTAGGGTCGAATTCAGAGGGATTGGGGATAATTTGTTTCTTCTAAAATTCAGAATATGGGGGGGGTTTGGAAAATATAAAATAACTAATTAACCAACTATTGAAACAATTAACAAAAATAATATGAATTAATCAATAATAAGTACGACTCTAGCCAAAGGTGCAATTTTTCAGATACGGTCCATTCAACTGATCATCGATGTAAAGATAATTCAATTACTCATTAATAGATTGGTTATAGTTGTTATACACGCGATAAATAACCAACTTTTCCTTACTTTTTTGATAGTCAAGGTACGACTATTAACTATTTTCCTAACCAAAAAATAACCCTAGATACGACTATAAGATTTAATTCCTCGATTACATTAAGAATTAGAAAAGCCCAACCCTAACCAATAAACACGCTACGAGGGTTTATTTAAATTAAATCATACGTTTCCCTAACATGGAACAAATCACTCTAGTCACCACTGGTATTAATCAATTAAACAATTACGGATTCAATCAATTAATCTGGCAGTAGATTATTAGGTTAATTCGAATATCGGACCCTTGACATTCAAATAACAGAACAATCATAAGAAATTAAATCAGAAAATGTACAAACACCAATGAATAAAAGAAATAAGTAAAATAATTCGATCTCACAGATGTTTGGAACCAAATCCTCAAATTGACCTTCGAATAAAAAATGGGCATTTAGTTCTTCATTATTGAGAAAATTGCCAATGTGATGCTATGGGAAAGAGCCAAAATCATCGGCTCCTCCCCCGAGCTCCCCTTTTTTCTTCTAGTCTCCAAATATATATGTATATAGCCGGCTGACTCTTTTCTTCCCTAAGAACTAGTAATCAAACGGGACTCAGCCGACTTCCCTTATTCTTTTGTTTCTTACTTGATATCTACTACTTAACAATAAAGGCCTATTGCCTAACTAGAAAAAAGGAAATAAAGACAATAATAACTCATGTTTCCTAATCCAACTCTATAACTAACAAAAATAATTAACGTTTTCCAAATTCCACCAAAGATATCCATATTTGATTCAAACTAGGAAATCTCCATGCGCGATAAATTCTCGAGTTTTCTGGACTTGAATGTAGGTCCCGAATATACCACCACCAAATTAGCTGAAAATTGTCCTTTTTAATCATGTTTTGGTTATTTTCCTACAACTAGCACCATTAACCAAATATAAGTAGAATCCATCAATTAACACAATATTTGGTAAAGTAAAAGAGAAAAATAATCATAAAATTAATGATTAAAAAAATGCAACCTATCAATTTCCCTCACACCTAAACCATGCTTGTCCTCAAGCATGAGAACAATAAATCAAACAATCAAACAATAGCTATTGCTCAAATATTCTATTGCCAAGATATATTTAAAACACACATCATGTATTAGTGGCAATTTTCAAGAAATATCTCTCCAGTTAGTTTTCAAGATCAAGGATTCTTCTAATTTATGACTAACTAATCTAAGAATATAAAATATTCAACCAGCAAACGGTTCAACTATTAAGCAAAATCTCAACATTAAAATTCATGGATCAGTGGGCTAACAATTCATTCAAACACTTCCATATTTTTCACTATTAGCACATATTTTTTTTCTAAAATATCCCAAACTTGAGTTTTTTCTTTTTTTTTTTTCAGGGGGAATGCTTAGCTTTTAACCATTTAAGCATTTTGACGCGAACTCCGACATTTGCTAAACAAGGGATCCCGGCTATTCAGCCCTCATCGCTTAAAAACCACATATTCTTAACTATTGTCGCTTTTTGACGCGAAAATCGACACTTGTGGTGAAGACCTCCGGTTACTAAGTAAAGATACCAACGAAGTATAGCCGAATACTATTCATAAATAAGTACCAAATTAAAATTAAAAAACACACAACCTATTTCATTTCTTAAATCTGGAGAACTAAGATTAATAGTTGAATCAATTTGCACGAAAATTGCTAGACAAATATTTACAATACTTAGAGAAGTTAATCAGAAAGTGCAAAAGTCACAAAATCTCAAATATTTACCAAAGAGATACCCTTAAACTTAACCATGTCATACATAACACCTTAGAGTATAAAATTTTAGCAATAGAAAAATTTGAAACGTCTAACCATTGTTTATTAGGAACAATCACAAAAATGCATAAAGACTAGCAAAAATTGGATAAAATTCAAAAAAAATTAAACAAAAAAAATTCCAACAGAAAATGCCTATATTTGCACTTTTCCAATATACTATCATATCCTATTCTCCCACACCTAAATTTTACAGTGTCCCCAATGTCAAAAATAAATAATCAAAAGAAAAGTAATGGAGATAACGAAATTTACCTGATAATTGAGGGGATCGTGGACAGCTACAAGTGAGGGACAAATGATTGTGGAGCTTGGCGTATGTTGATGGTTGGCGGCGGTGGAGTTCGGATGGAGAATGATGGAAGAAAGAAAGAAAGAAGAAACAAAAAAAAGAGAGAAAGCAATAAAGAAAGAAAAAGAAAGGCAAAAAGACAGGAAAAGGAAGAGAAAGGAAAGAAAAAAAATATTTTATTTGTTTTTTTTTACCTTCTCCTAGGACTTGACATGGGCACGTCATGATGGTAGGAACCCTTCTGATGAAGAATCGTTGAATTGAAAGTTGTCACGTGCCCTGTTGACGCGGGCACGTCAAGAGGGTGAAAACCATTCTGATGAAGACTTTGAGAATTGCACATTATCACGTGCCCAAGTGACGCGGGTGCGTCATGAGAGTGGAAACCCTTCTGATAAAGCACTTGAGAGTTGCACATTACCACGCGCTTTGTTGACACGGGGGCGTCATGCCGGGAGGACATCTAGTAATCATCAAAAACGAAAAATTAAACCAAAAATTTGTAAGAATTCTAAGAAAACATATTGAAACAATCAAATAGAATTGAACAAATAACGAAAATAAATTGGGTCGCCCCCCAATAAGCGCCTTTCTTTAATGTTTTTGGCTACACATTGTCATGTTTGTTTAGGGAAGATAAAATCTTGTGGCTCGTTTCAGTGTTTCATCCTCTATATAATCCTAATAGTCCTTGTAAATAGAGTAATCCCTGAGCACACGAGCTATGGTCTTTCATGGACTAGTAGATGGCGCCAAATAAGTCAACAATAATCTGAATTCTCCACTCACTCCTCCATCACGCGTATTTACTGGTTCAAGATATTTTGCTATTGTCACTCTTAACTTATTCCTGTCATGAAATTCAAAAATTTCTGGTATAATAAAGTCAATATCACTAATAGGAATTGAAAAATAAGAATCTGGAGAATATTGATTAAGGAATAGAAAAGATGTCACTGCATTTGGAGATTGTTCACCGGATTCATTCACTTGAACGAGTTGATGTTGGGGTCTCATTTCTTCCATTTCAACTTCCTTTTCAACTGCATCTTTAGATCCGTTTTCTTGAAACTCTTGCAATTCCATGTCATTTGTCCGGATAATTACACTGTAATCTCTTTTAAAATTGATGTTAGTTTGTGAGGGCAATTCTTCACACATTTGAGAAGCTTGTGTTATCGTGGATGTCACTAGATGCACTTGATTTGCTAGGTTATGAATGCTCGTTTGTATCTCCTTATGAAATCGATATATGTTAGTAGCTAGTAATTCAATTATTTTTTCAAGAGACATACGTGACTCGATGATGGTTATTGCTGTTGATATTGATGTTGAAAATCGATTGGCTCTTATGTATAATTAAAGTTAGAGTTGTCCCACCATTTTTGATCATACCCATTTGAATAAGGGTTATGCCACGTTCGAGATTGGGATGAAAAACCTTCAAACTTATTGAGATAGGCATCTAGGTAATCTTGATATTCAAAACACATACTAGTTGAATGATCTATGGCATAACAAATTCCACAGCAGCCATTTTGTCTATAAGAAAGCTCAGTGAATCTGAATATTGATCATCAGAAAAAGCACAAGCCTCATTTCCTTTTATAGGAATAAAATTCAATCTATCACCAAAATACGGAATGTCAGCAGCCATAAACTAGTAAAAAAAATAAGAGAAAAAATAGAAATGAAAATAAGATGACCTAAAAAAGAAACAAATTAATCAGGCACCAGTTCTCGGTAACGGCGCAAAAAAATTGACAGGTGTTGAGCTTGTACAATAATATATACCTACTCAATAAAAATATAAATTTTGTATATAGCGGTGAGTAGAGTCGAATCCACAGGGATTGGGGATAATTTGTTTCTTCTAAAATTTAGAATATGGGAGGTTTTTGGAAAATATAAAATAACTGATTAACCAACTAATAAAACAATTAACAGAAATAACAGGAATTAATCAATAATAAGTATGACTCTAGTCAAAGGTGCAACTTTTTAGACACTGTCCATTTAACTGATCATCGATGTAAAGATAATTCAATTACTCATTAATAGATTGGTTATAGTTGTCATACAGGCGATAAACAACCAACTTTTTCTTACTTTTTCGATAGTCAAGGTATCACCATTAACTATTTCCCTAACCAAGAAATAACCCTAGGTACAACCATAGGATTTAATTTCTCGATTGCATTAAGAATTAAAAAAACTCAACCTAACCAACAAATACGCTACGAGAGTTTGTTTAAATTAGATCATACGTTTCCCTAACATGGGACCAATCATGCTAGTCACCACTAGTATTAATCAATTGAACAATTACAGATTCAATCAATTAATCTGACAGTAGATTATTAGGTTAATTCGAATATCAGACCCTTGATATTTAAATAACATAACAATCATAAGAAGTTAAATCAGAAAACGTTCAAATACCAATGCATAAAAGAAATAAGTAAAATAATTGGATCTCACAAATGTTTGGAACCGAATCCTCAAATTGACCTTCGACTGAAAAATACCAATGCATAAAAGAAATAAGTAAAATAATTGGATCTCACAAATGTTTGGAACTGAATCCTCAAATTGACCTTCGATTGAAAAATAAGAATTTAGTTCTTTATTATTGAGAAAATCGCCAACGCGATGCTATGGGAAAGAGCCAAAATCATAGGCTCCTTCCCCGAGCACCCCTTTTTTCTTCTAGTCTCCTAGTATATATGTTTATAGCCAGCTGACTCTTTTCTTCCCTAAGAAGTAGTAATCAAACGGGACTCGGCCGACTTCCATTATTCTATTGTTTCCTACTTGATATCTACTACTTAATAATAAAGGCCTATTGCCTAACCAGAAAAAAAGGAAATAAAGACAATAATAACTCATGTTTCTTAATCCAACTCTACAACTAACAAAAATAATTAAAGTTTTCCAAATTTCACCAAAGATGTCCATATTTAACTCGAGCTAGGAAATCTCCATGTGCGATAAATTTCCGAGTCTTCTGGACTTAAATGTAGGTCTCGAACGTACTACCACCAAATTTGCTGAAAATTGTCCCTTTTAATCATGTTTTGGTTATTTTCCTACAATTAGCACTATTAACCAAATATAAGTAGAATCCATCAATTAAAACAATATTTGGTAAAGTAAAAGAGGAAAATAATCATAAAATTAATGATAAAAATGCAACCTATCAACAGTCCAATCTTCGACAAGGTTATGATTTGATGTATCAATACTACTTTTTGTTTTCAAACAAAACTCACCAAACCCCATGTATTTACTGAAATTTTGATTCTCCATACATTCAAGATTTTGAAAGATATTCAAGATGTTCTCTTTCCACATATTCCAAAATTTCTTGAGCGCAGCAATAGACAATTGAGTGAAATCCTGTTTTCAGAATGTATCAATACTATTAGGCTTGCCATTTAGAGGAGAAAAAATAATTAACTATATTTACTGCTCATATATGTGTATGTGTTTGTGTGTATGTATGTACACAGGTACATTGGAAAAATGCATAGGTATATGTGTGTATATGTATGTGTGCGCGCGCGCGTGTATGCATATACATATGTGGACATATATATACATATGCATATATAAACACACATATAGATTTTCCAAAGAACAAGACTATTTTTGAACAAGTCAATTCATTTGAAATCCTACGAAACCACTCTTTTTCCTATTCAAAGGTCAGCCTAGTTTTGTGTTTTCATTTCGAGAATTATTTGCAAATGAAGAGATGTCCACACATGCATACATACACATATGTGTGTGTGTATATATATATATATATATTTGTGTGTATACATATCACTTTTTCTTTTATATATATCTCTTAACAGATTTTTGGTAACAAAATTTCCTTAAGGATAAGCTAACTATATTTTACTTTTCATTCTATAACAAACAAAAAAAAATCAAGCTCCAAACCTCAAGGATAACAGAGGAATTAGTAAGAATAATCCTATACAAATCTCTTTGCATTCACAAAATTTTGGCTTGACAAACATTAAAAATTGAGTTTCAATCTAATTTTATAACAGCTATTGGTAAATCCATTCCTATGTCCTTGTCCATCGTTGAACAATTAATTTATCATTAGAAACATTTTGAACCATTACCCACTTCCTTTCACCGTTCATTCCTATGTACTTGTCCACCGTTCATGAGAATATTAATTCTTTAACCATAAAATTTTTATTCGAGAGATTATTAAATCACAATGAAATCTCAATCTTACGAAATTATTTATGCTAATATGTGCATAACATCGATAGCATAACCATAATTTTCTTTTAATCTTCTGAAATGTTTCTATAATTCAATTCATGCATAATAGCTGCACACATAGACTAAATGTTGATTTATTTTTGTCTTTTATGGGTTATAAAATGGAATTTACAATTTAAGTGCCTCTTTTGTATCTCCTGAAAATTTGCACGTACACAACAATGCTGCAAATCAATAAATATTAAGTTAAACTTAACCTTAAGCAAGATACCAGGCAACGTTCAAAGCACGTTCCCTTATGCTTGTTACAATAATGCCACCTCGTAAATCGTAATGCTAACGTCATGTGTTTAAACAGTAGTTATCCTGTTTCACAATTAAATTGATCATTAATGGGTTAGTCGATGCTGAATAAAAGCATAAACAAGCTATTCAAATGACGTAAACTTACTTTACATAAATAACGTGCTTTAGTCATTAATTTTTGTGTTCCCACTTAACATTTTGAACCACTGGAACCCCGAATGAACGGCGAAAGAAAACTCGTTCAAGGTATAAATGTTGTATCATTTTGTATTCAAAGTAATGAAACACAATAACAAGTCACCTAATGACTCGTCATTGTAGCATGATCCAGCCATGTCAATGAAACTAGTAACAGCAATCTTAGCCTGTTTTCTAGTTCACACTGCACCTAGTGCAGCAGCTTTTGATGATGTTGGGTTCATCTATCAGGGATTTCAGTCATCAAATCTAAGCCTGGATGGATTAACCAAAGTCACCGATAATGGCCTCCTATGGATAACCAACACCACCAAATCACAAAGTGGGCATGCCTTCTATCCTAATCCCATCAACTTCAAGAGCGCATCTAATAGTTCAGCTTTCTCCTTTTCCACCCAATTTGTGTTCGCTATAATACCCGATGTCCCAGGCGTGATTGGTCCGGGATTGGCTCTCGTGATTGCACCAACAAGAAACCGTACAGAAGGGCCTATGTCAAAGTTCTATAGTATGGAAAGTCTCGGCCTCTTTGCTAGAAACACCGATGGAAATCAGAAAAATCACTTTTCGCTGTGGAGCTTGACACCTTTCAGAACCCAGATTTTGGAGATATTAATGCCAATCATGTTGGTATCGATATAAACTCTGTGAGGTCCAAGGTATCAAGGCCAGCAGGTTACCAAGCTAATAACAAGAATTCATTTGACAACTTAACTCTTAGCAGCGGTCAACCGATGCAACTTTGGGTGGAATACGATGGGATTGATAGGAGAATCGATGTTACGTTAGCCCCAATAGCGGCCGCCAAACCACATACTCCTCTTTTCTCTTTGCCATATGACCTTTCGCCGATTTTAGTGCAAAACATGTATGTTGGCTTTTCTGCTGCCACTAGCCCAGTAGAAAGAGGAACATCTCATTTTATACTTGGATGGAGCTTCAGGATGAATGGTGTTGCGCAAGCTCTTGATCTCTCTCGGCTCCCTAAGCTACCTCGGTCTGGACATAAGAAAGTGTCTAAATTTTTCACCGTGGGATTGCCCCTGATTTGTTTACTTTTGTGTTTAATATTAAGACCTGGAGTAGCTTTTTATCTAAGGAGAAAGTGGAAGTTTGCTGAAGTGCTGGAAGAATGGGAGCTTGCTTAGGGACCTCACAGGTTCAAGTATCAAGACTTGTACATTGCCACCAACGGATTCACAGAAAAGCAGCTGTTAGGAAAAGGCGGATTTGGCAGGTTCTACAAAGGCGTTTTGCCAACAAACAATCTTGAGGTTGCCGTCAAGAAGGTCTCTTATCATGCAAGACAAGGAATGAGAGTATTTGTTGCAGAAATCGTCAGTATTGGTCGATTGAGTCATGGAAATTTAGCACCGTTGTTGGGTTATTGTCGGCGTAAAGAAGAGTTTTTTTTTTTTTTTCTGAAGAAGTACACTTCCAAATTTTTTTTTTTTTAACGGAAATATGATGTAGTATTATTCAAGCTGCCCAAGAATACGGTGCAGGGAGGAAGGCTGCATCCTTACCTCCGAAACGAGAAACGAAAATTACAAAAGTTCTGCATATCCAGGGCCAATAACCCTCTAGTACGACACGGTAATTGAGAAGCCCTAGTAAAGAGCTCGAAGGAACCAACCGTAGGAAGCCAGCGAGTCAGCCACAGCATTTCCCTCCCTGTAGCAGTGGTTGAACTGATGATACTGTAGAACAGCATACCGAATCGCACGCACAACAGGCCTAATGACCGCTGGACCTTCCCCTTCCCCCCCGTAAACAACTGATCAAGACGAGGCAATCAGATTCAACAGTTAAATGCAATATCCCCCTTTGTCTCCCTAGCTGAAGACCCAAAAGTAGCACGCGCCTCCGCTTGCAAGGGACTTACCGGACCAAAGAAATCAGCAAAAGCCAGAATGAGCCTTCCATAGGAATCCCTAATCACTCCACCACCACCCCCACCTTGAAGAGTAGAGCAACCATCCGTATTCAACTTAAAGAAACCATCCAAAGGACACACCCATCGCACCAGAGTGGAAACTAAGGACCTCCGAACCCCGGATAGCAAGTCCAGAATCTCAGCCCATTGAAGTGGTACCCTTGTAATGGTCGGAAAGTACACCTGGATCAATAACCACAGCTCATCAATGATCGATCCCCAAACCTGACCAACGGGTATACTCCGTCCCTCAAATCGAGCCATGTTTCTAGCCCGCCATAAAAACCAGACAATAAGCAAAGGTAGCAGACGGAATAGCCACCGCAATGCCCTCCCTTTGACAGTGAGCAGCCACCATTTGTAGCATCGTGACCTAAAACAAGCAATTGAAGGAGTTGTAGAGCCTAGCGACTGCCCAAAAAACCCCCAAACCTCATTTGCTAACACCCCAGTAGCAAAAACATGCTGCAGCGTTTCCAACTGAGGCAGCGAACAGCATTGACACCTTGAAGGGCCATGAACTTGAAACTTTGCTAACACATCATCCACTGGCAGCTGCTTGTGCAGTAATCTCCACATAAGAAAGGAAAATTTCGGCGGAATTAAAGCATGCCAGATAGAAGCAAATGCCCATGACCGAACCCAGAGGATCGAACTACCTGATATGCCGATTTTGTAGAAAACTCCCCCGAAGGTTGTAAAGAAGAGTTACTCTTGGTATACGAGTTCATGTCCAACGGTAGTCTAGACAAGTTTTTGTATGACCAACCCAAGTATACGCTCCACTAGAGCCAAAGATTTCATGTCATCAAAGGTGTAGCATCTGGATTATTCTATCTACACAAAGAATGGGAACAAGTTGTGATCCACAGAGATGTAAAAGCCAGTAATGTACTACTGGATGGTGAACTGAATGGAAGATTAGGAGATTTCGGCCCGGCAAGGCTATACGATCATGGAACTCTCCCTCAAACCACCCATGCAGTAGGACAGGGAAGGCCACAACGAGCACTGATGTATATGCTTTTGGGGGTTACCTGTGGAAGAAGGCCTATAGAATCCCGAGCAGCACCAGCAGAGAATTTCATTTTGGTTGATTGGGTATTTTCGTGCTGGAAAGCAGGCAATGTTCTCCAGGCGGTTGATCAAAGGCTACGCACTGAGTATGTGAAAGAGGAAGCAGAATTGGCTTGTTGTGCTCTCATTCAGAGCCGCAGATTAGGCCAAGTATGAGGCAAGTTCTGTTGTACTTGGAGGGATCAGTTGCCCTGCCAGAATTATCATCACTGCCCATGGGCGTTTCTGCTGTTGGTCTTGGCTTCGCCCATCCTGCTGGCTTTGAAGATACTACATCGTCATTTGCATCTTCCACAGACAAAAGTTTCTCACATTCTGTAGTAGACTCTGTTCTCTCTGGCGGTCGGTAACTTTACTAAATTTTGGGAAATCAAAGTGTTCATTTTGTTGAGTGCATTTTTATTATCTTTCTACCCACGAGAGCCCCTTGTACTGTTTATTAGTGTGGCATCTCAAATATGCAATGTTTTAATATTGAAGCCTTTTGTTTTCCCCTTTTCTGTGTTTTCTGTTTTCTAGTTTCTGTATGTCTGGTAAAAAGATTCATTCATAGAGAACTTGAATTTAAAATTCTAATAATAATGAATATCTGCAGGGTTACAGAATTGAAGGAAGAATATAATCATTCAAAATATTTATGTGGGAGAATGAGAGAGGAATAAGCGTAATTCACAAAATTATTGAAATTTTAAATAATAGAAGAAAATGACACCATAATAAAATCTTATAAACTTTCTTAAACTCTCTTAAGAAATACCTAAACTATTGCCCTATTTATAACTTATTAAGAGTTTTAAAATAAGAAATCCTAAATAATACAACTACCAAAAACCTAACTTCAATAAAACTAGTGGATAAATAAATAGAAACTTCCACGTTTGGTTTATTCTGCCAACAATTAATAGCAGCTAATCATTAACATCTTTTTTGAGGGCAAATTAAATTGTTGCACTAAAACATTCTGGAAACCATCCCACCATAACAATGTATAAGAGCAAAGATAGCCCAAAGCACATAAGCTTCAACAATTAAATGCGCAAAGACTGAAACTGTCTGGTCCTTTACCCCAAAACGACGCACATTTTTATCCCATACTGAACAACTCAATGGATCTTTCCAATTGTTTGACACTTTCATTGTACTTTTTGTCCATTACTCATGCTTCTTGATTGCTAGCAATTAATTGTTAGTTTCAGTTAAATGTTCTGTGAGCTCATTATACACACACACACACACACACACACACACATACACATATATATATATATATATATATATATATATATATGTTGAAGAAGAGCTGAGGAAACAAGAATGAACTTCATAGTGTAATCAAAGAAAGGGACCGTTTACTACCAAAGTCTTTGGACAGATACAATCTGGATTTTAATGCATTTCTACAGACAATTACAGAAACCCTTAAGCCCTAATGTGCACGGTCTTAATTTGAACGTATTCCAGGGTACAAAGAACTTGTCATTTTACGGCATCTTGACGGATGAATGTAGAAAATTCTTTAATCAGTTTGATAAGCCCGTCTTCGGACAACAAAAATTCCTCTACAGATGAAAGGAAATCTGAGGGGACCCAAAGGAAAAAAAAAAAATCAATTTGGCAGGTTCTTATTCTGCACAATCTTGTAATATCTCCTGCTCTAGCTTCCACCCCAGGTCTTGTTTTCTAGTGGTAATTAGTTGGTGTTGATTTTTATTCTACCTTTTTTCAAAAGATTTTGATGAAACTTACATTTTTTTTTTTCGAAACGATAGGAGATTTTCATTGCTTTAATGAGAAAGAGTACATATACGAGCAACGGCTTGAGAGAAGCTATACAAGAAGTGTTCTAAGAACACTGAGGAAACAGTCTTTCCTCATCAACAATAACGCCTAAAGCATCATCACTTAATTTTTTGCTAACTAACATGTGTTCTTGTCTACACAAGTCAAAAGAGCACGTGCAAAACAAACACTTAAACTTAGAAATGTCTTCCAGTACTGTTGCCATCTTAATGTCCGAAGGGCTCTGCTGTTTGAGTCGTCTCCACAGCTCCTTGTTACAAAACTTCAGCTTAACCTTGCTCCAGTTTCGATGCACTGCTTTACACAAGGCCAGCTTCAGAGCTAGTGCATCATCTAGGACTTTGTTTCCCACACTGATCTCATTCATTATACGCACAGTTTCTCATATTTCTTTGTCGGTTGTTCAATGAGCCACTTTAGTGGAGGTTTTGCAAAATATTATGGCCTTTTTCTTTTTTCTCTCTACAATTATTTGCATCTTGACTTGTTACATTAAGGCCGCCATATGACTAGTTCAATAAGTCAATTTGATATATCTGGCAAGGTTAACTTTCGCTTCTCTCAATCTTCTGGTCAGTAAGAGAGAATTTCTTGGCCAAATTGCACAAATTCAACTAATTCCAAACTATATGCAACATAACAATTACCATGCATGTATGCAAAAAAATTGAAAAAAGCTCATGACATCATATTGTTGCCCATGTCACAGGTGAAAGGGAAATCATGAAGATGAAATTTTGGTTCCACGCAAGAGACAATCCCCCCAAAAATAATTTACAGGAGCTCAAGCTAAAGTCTGATTCCTTATTTGATAAGAGAGACGCCATCATCAATGATTTAGTGCGAGAGCTCAAAAAGGGAAAGATTCCCACAAGAGAGTGCCATACATGGCTGAAGAAGGTGGAAGATATCAAATATGAGGTGTATGATTTGCTGAAATCTAAGGCACGTGATTCTGAGTTCGAAATTTCTACAATCCGTTCCCGCCTGGATGCTGTGATGAACGAGATATCTGAATATTTGGACAAATCACCAAATAAAAATGACACAGTGGATGACGCAATGATTGGAAGATCCAAGAGAATAAAGGGATATTCAAAGGTTGGGGGCGATGAATATCGTACTGTGGAAGTGGGTAAAACACATAAAATCCGAAGAACAGCTGTTCATGTTAATGCTGCTGCAGGGGAATCATCCCCAGCAAGCAAAAAACCAATTTTGGGAAACAGAATGGAGCAGAATAAAGATAAAGAGACGATTTCTGCACCATTAGCTGCTGTTTCTGAAACTGCAGAAACTTGTAGAATGGAAGATGGACGTGTAAAAGCCGAAAACAAAATCTCATTGCAGAATGAAGGGATATCACTATCAGCTATTGATCAAAAAGCTGGAGAAACTCCTGAAAAATTAGGTCCTGAAGGATTAAGGTTGGAAAAGTCAGGCTTATCAAAGCTGCTGTCACCATTATCCAGCATGGCACACCTGGAGCTGAATGAATATGAGACAAGGCGAGATACAGTATCTCTTGAAAGGGCAGAGACTCAATCCAATCTAGTAGAAAAATGTGAACTTACTTTTTCGGAGGTAAAAGAGATGTCGAATACAAATGAAATAAAGGATTCAGTAACAGGAAGATCCATTCCTGAAACAGAAAATTTGATCTCTGAAGCGGAAGGAATTGAACCAATAGAAACACGAGAAAAGCAACATGGATATTGTAAACCTGAAGGCAAAATCCCAGTGCAAAAAGAGGCCAAGGAAAAGCTAGCTCTGGATGTTGAAGCAGGAATGACTCCAAATAAAACGGCTGTTGAGGTAGTCAGAAATTCAGAGATAGAAGAGATTTCGCCAACAGGTGAAATGGGGGATTTTAGAATTGAGAGATCCATCCCTGGACCAGAAAGTTCTATTTCTGATCCCGAAGGAATAATTCACGACTATCAAAGTATGTCCTCCGAATCTGGCGATAAAAGAGTTAATCCAATGAAGACTAAAACACTCATGAATCTGAAAAGACGTCTGTTTGCCAAGTCCTCTTCAAGAAGTGTAACTGTTCTGGGAGCTCCAAAAGTGGATTCATCAAGAAAAGATGATATAAGTATGACTCAGGGTGATGAAGAACCGAGAATTAGCTGCATGGTACAGAAGATAATTGAATGCATGAAAGATGATAAATACAGAAGAATTGGCATCTACGGAAATGGTGGAATTGGCAAGACAACCGTACTTAAGGCCTTGTTATCTTTTTTTTTTTTTTTTCGAAACGATAGGAGATTTTCATTGCTTTAATGAGAAAGAGTACATATACGAGCAACGGCTTGAGAGAAGCTATACAAGAAGTGTTCTAAGAACACTGAGGAAACAGTCTTTCCTCATCAACAATAACGCCTAAAGCATCATCACTTAATTTTTTGCTAACTAACATGTGTTCTTGTCTACACAAGTCAAAAGAGCACATGCAAAACAAACTCTATAACTTAGAAATGTCTTCCAGTACTGTTGCCATCTTAATGTCCGCAGGGCTCTGCTGTTTGAGTTGTCTCCACAGCTCCTTGTTACAAAACTTCAGCTTAACCTTGCTCCAGTTTCGATGCACTGCTTTGCACAAGGCCAGCTTCAGAGCTAGTGCATCATCTAGGACTTTGTTTCCCAGACTGATCTCATTCATTATCCACCCTGTCATTCTATTCCTTACATATTCCTTAACTGTGATTCCTATCCCAACATTATGCTGTCCTTTTTTCTTTGTTGTTTCTATCTCCATTATCACAGCTCCCTCATTTGTATAAATCTGATCTTGCAAATCTTGTCTAGGGACTGTTTCTTCTGTGCTCTTTCCAACTTTCGTGACCTCGTCCTGTAGCTGTTCCATCCAATCCTTGTGTGGTCTTGCCATTGTTTTGAAAGGTGTAACTAAATCTGATTTGTTGAATTCCCTCTTATTTCTTTCTTTCCACACCTGCCACAGGATATTAGCAGTTAAACCAATATGTTCCAACCCCTCTGGTCTATGCCTTGCTTCTGAAATCCTTAGCCACCATCGTTTGAAGTTCCCTTGTTGATCCTTTGCCCCATCCCACTGAATAGGGGCTGCCTTCCAAATGTTCATCGAATGAGGACAGGTCAACAGGAGGTGTTCTACTGTTTCCTGTGCAGTTCCACAAGTTGTGCAAGGAGGATCACCCTGGCCCGTTCTCCTCCTCACAGCTTCCTTCACTGGCAGCGCTCCTTGAATGCATTTCCAAATGAAGAACTTGATCTTGTGCTTAATGTTTAAACTCCACAGAGTGTTCCACATTTGAATAACTTGAGGGCTACCTTCTGCATAACTGGAACTTGCTCCATCAGGATTACCCGTTTTTCTTTTTCTGCTTTGCTTCATCAGGAGTTTGTAGCCAGAGTTGACAGTGTATTGCCGTCCCGCCTTTGGTTGCCAATAAAAGCTATCCTCCCTCTCTGAAAGACTCAAGGGAATAGCAAGAATTTTGTGCGCATCATGTCTGTTAAAATTTCTGAAGATGATATTCCTATTCCATCTTTGATGGCTTATGAGCTCTCCCACCTTTTCCAGCTCACACATGCTCCTTCGACTTGTAGTCGGCCTACCTGTAGTTGTATCTGGAATCCACTTATGTTCCCAGATGCTTGTACTACACCCATTCCCTATCCTCCTAATCAGTCCTTCATTGAGTAGGCTTCTTGCTCCCATTAAGCCTTTCCAAATCCAGGATGCATTTTTGGTAGGACTGCAATGTAAGATGAACTCCTTTGGAAAATATTTAGCTTTTAACACCTTGCTCACCAACATATTTGGTTTAGTAATTAACCTCCATACTTGCTTTCCTAGCAGAGCTTGATTGAAAGCTTCAAGATCCTTGAAGCCTAGACCTCCTGCCTTTTTTTCCAAAGCCATTCTTTCCCAAGAAATCCAGTGCATTTTGTTCTTGCCATTAGATTCTCCCCACCAAAAATTGGCCATCAGTGCACAGACATCTTTACACAATCTTCTTGGCAGCTTAAAGCACGACATAACGTACAGAGGCATAGCCATTGCGACTGCCTTCAGCAATACTTATTTACCTGCTGGACTCAAAAATCTGTTTTTCCAGTTCTGAAACTTACATCATTCTCTCTTTTTTTTTTCCTTCGATTGTATAATCTAATCTATTATATTCTATCGGAAGGGCAGTTCGAAAAGACTGTGGAATGGACTATCAATTATATAGATTTGATTAAACCAAAAGAATACTCTGACATTTTTTTTGAATTTTCTTCATTGCAAATGGAGTTCGAACCGCCAACATACCACCCAAAAGTGGACAAACTTTATCACTTACATCATTGTCATATGACAAAAAATTCAACATGGTGAGTCCTAGCCCACGTCCAGCGCCCAATTTGAATAAGCCCCTTACTCCTTTTTTTTTTCCACAAATGTTAACAGATATATATATATATATATGAACCTCTTGATAATACAAGATTTAATTACAAAAAGGGGCTACTACCCTCATTTCCTTTCTCACTAAGTCCATCAGCCAAATTGGGAAATCTTGTTCCCATTCAATGTCATACACTATCTTGATAGCAAATTAAGCTAAAGCATGGCCGATTTCATTTTTTGATCTAGGTATAAACACAAACCTACATCTTTCAAAATGTGCTCTAAGTTCCTGCACATCTTCCAGAATAGTTGCAATGTTAAAATCATAGTCATTGCTTCTATTTATCTGGTCTACTACTGATTTGCTATCAGAATGGACTATTATTTTATTCCATCCTACATGTTTAGCCATCAGCATTGCATTCCTGATTGCCAGAGCTTCTTCCTTGCTTGCTGCTCCCTTGTATTGGTTGACTATTCCTTTTGCTCGCATGATCATTCCTTTCCAGTTCTTGCCACAATTCCTTGGCCCGTCCTTATCATTTTTGTTGATATTGCAGCATCTGTGAACAGGCATACCTCATCTTCCTTTGCTGTTTCTCTTCTTGTCCATAGCTCACTGGTCTCTTACCTGCTCATATTCCATCCATTCCTCTTGTGCCTTCATAACAATTCTGTGTGGATTCAGGCTTCCATCTTCAAAAACTTTTTTGTTGCGTGCTTTCCAGAATTGCCAAAAGATATTTATGGTGAGATTAATCCTATCCGGTCCATGGTCTTTTGTGGTAGACTGAGTGGCATTTTCCCACCAAAGCCATAGATTATGCTGTTTGTCCTTTATACAATCCCACCTTACTAGAGCCATTTTCCAAACTTCTTCTGTATTCACACACAAAAAGTGTAAGTGTTCGATGGTTTACATACCTTCTCCACAATAGCTACATCTTCCCTCTCCTTTTCCCATCCTTTTGAAGGTCACTTCATTAGTTGGTAGGCAGTTTTGCAAACATTTCCACATGAAGTGTTTCAGCTTGGCCCTTACGTTTAGTTGCCACAGTTTCTTCCACATGCTATGTTTCCTTACTTCCCAACTTGTCTCAGCATTGCTTTCTCCTTTTCTACTCTGATAGTTCTCCTCCTGTTTTGCCACTGCATACCCCGTTTTCACAGAATATACCCTAGTTTTAGCGAATTTTCAGAACATTCTGTCCTTTCTCCTTCCTATGCTGATGGGGATGCATTCAATAAGTTGAGCTTCCTTTTGTCCAAACCATTTCTACAAAAGATCTTTTTTCTACTTCCCCCCTTCTATCATCTCGCTTACCTATTCCAGTTCACAGCCCTCAGGTTTTCCAGAAGCCACTCTTCCTCCTTTTGAACCTATTATCCATTTATCATTCCAAATACTGACCGAACTTCCATCACCTATTCGTTTCCATAATCCAGCAAGTAACAAGTCTTTAGCACTGTTTATGCTCTTCTAGCTCCATGATGCTGTGCTAGGAGGACTTTTCTCCATCTAATTTGGGTCCTTCATGTACTTAGCCTTCATAACCTTGCTTACTAACAAATTTGGAGCAGATAAGAATCTCCAAATTTGTTTTCCAAGCAAAGCAGTGTTGAAAGCTTCCAAGTCACTGAAGCCTATTCCCCCTCTTCCCTTAACCTCTGAAATTTTCTTCCAACTTGCCCAGTGAATACATGCATCTTTCTCTCCCTTGCCCCACCAGAACCTTGCAATTTTCCTTGTGATTTCTCTACATAGTCCTTTTGGGAGTCTGAAACATGCCATTACATAAGTTGGCATTGGCATTATCACTGCCTTGATCAGCACTTCCTTTCCTCCCTGACTCAGTACTCTTTGTTTGCATCCCTGCAGCTTGCTACTGATTTTATTTTTTACAAACTGAAACACTTGTGTCTTTGCTCTTCTAATGGCCATTGGCAGTCCCAAATATGTGCCATTTGTTGCTTCGTTTATGTTGTCTAGTCCCTCTCTTGCCTCTGGTTTCATCACTTCATTTGTGTTTTTGCTGAAAAAGATTGCTGACTTGTCAAAGTTCACCACCTGTCCAGAGGCTTTACCATACTTTGTCAAGATGCTCTTCACTTTCATTGCTTCCTGTTTGCTTGCTTTGCAGCACAAGAGTGATTCATCTGCAAAAAAATAAGTAAGAGATAGCAGGACTTTCCCTGCAAATTTTGATTCCAGTTAGCTCATTCGCAGTCACTGCTTTATGGATTAGGCTAGATAATCCTTCCGCACATATGATGAACAGATAAGGTGATAAGGGGTCCCCTTGTCTGATGCCTCTACTTGGCTTTACATTTCCTACCTTCTGGCCATTTAAATTGAAGGAATAAGTCACTGTGGATAAGCAGACCATGATCCATTTGACAAAAATTGGACAAAAACCCATTTTCATCATCAGTCTCCCCAAAAAAATCCATTCTACACTATGATACGCTTTCGACATGTTTAGCTTAATAGCCATAAAACCTGTTTTTCCTTTTCTTCTATTTTTCAAAAAATAAAAGATTTCATGAGCTACCACTACATTATCAAGAATTTGTCTGCCTGGGATGAAGGCAGACTGTGAAATGCTAATGCAGTGCTGGAGAACATGCTTCAATCTGTTTGCAATAATTTTTGAGATGATCTTATAAAGCACTGTGCACAAACTGATTGGCCTATAATGCATAACAGATAGGGGTGATTCAATCTTTGGGATTAAAGAGATTATGGTTTCATTCACCACTTTAAGCAAACATCCAGAATGGAAAAAGCTATTTATGGCTAGCACTAGGTCCTCTTTTATGATGTGCCAATAGTGCTAGAAAAAAAGATGGGACATACCGCATCCGTTCCTGGAGCTTTGTTTGGATGCATTGAGAACAAAGCTTGTCTAATGTCTTTTTCTTCCACAGGCTTAATCAGCATCTCATTCATCTGTCTAGAGATAGTGCTAGGGATGTCAGGCAGGATCTCCTCAAACTCATCCGGGCGATGCCCTACCCTAGTTATGTTTTTCCAACGATTCGTTACAGGTATTGATTTTTATTTTAAAAAATTAATAACTAGGTTTATATCATACTCATATGTCCAAAAAAAAAAAATCAAACCAAATACTCAACTATAACATCAAATATTAGAAAAACAATAATTAAAGCACAATCTGAAATTCAAAGTATTACAGATCTTTATATCTATACTATATTAAAAGCACGAGTTTGAATTAGAGGATTAGTTACATTACATTTTCTTCCCATAATACCCTCACCATAAAATTGAATGACTACATTAACTTCGCAAATTTGAATGCCTTTTCAATGATTATCGAGGATATTTATGTAATAACAATGATGAGATTTTATTTTAGTAAAGTAGTTTTCATTCAAATCAATGCCGTGCACGTTAGGGCGTAAGGGTTATCTAGATTTTGATGGATTTGACTGAAAATTACAGCACCCCTTGAGTCCTAACGCGCACGCTATTAATTTGAACCCCCGGTACAGTGCAGGTCATTCTATAACATCTTTGCAGATGACCAAAGACTGTAGACAGCTGTTTAATTAGTTGATTAACTTAGCCTTGTTTGGATAGCAATTTTTCTATGTTTTTCGTGAATACTTTTTTCAATCAATTTTTTATCGCACATATATAAAATCATCACAGTAATTTATTTATAAAAGATTCAAAAAAATGCAATCCAAACGAGGCATCTGTGAACTCCTAAGATTCCTCTACATTTGAAAGGCAATCTTGCCAGGTCCCATCCAATCTTGAAAAAATTTCACCCCACAGCCCTGACTGCTACCAGTTTGTTGTTGCAGTTCTTCCCGGGCGTTGACTTTTCTTTGAACTTTAGGGAAGAATCATAATTCTATGACCAAACAAATTTAATGTGGTTGGTTTCCATTCCATGTCCACATCCTAACCTTGAAAAACATCTCCTCCTACTCGAGCTTCCACCCCTGGCCCTTGTTTTCTTGTCATTTTTTGTGGATCCTAATTTTTAATTATATTTTTAAAATAATAACTATAAAGGAGTTATATATAATTTTTGAAATTATAAGAAATTATATGAAAGATTGCTAAATCACAAGGAGTAAAGTGCATTTGGCCTTTTTTTTAATAAATAATAAGTATAATTATGTCATGCTTGTACAACAAAAAAAGAAAAATCAATGTGGCGGGTCCTGTTTCATGTGCACTGCCCCAATTTTGTAAAAGTCTCCCTTTCCCGTGCCCACAGCCTGAGTCTCTGTTTTTCCAGCAGTTCTTCATATGTGTTGATTTTTATTCGTTTTTTTTTTGTTGGGAAAGTAATACCTAAATTCAAGAGGGAAAAATGAATCCAAATATTCAACTATAATATCAAACACTAAGAAAAAAATAGTTAAAGCTCAATCTAAAGTTCAAAGTATCAAAAAAAATTTTCTGCCAAAATTTTTTTATATTTTTCGTGAACTCATTTTTTATTTATTTTTTTATCTCGTATATATCAAATCGCTATAGTAGATTTTCCTACAGAAAATCCTAAAAATAGCAATCCAAACAAGAGGAGAAAAAAAGAATGAAGTGAAGTTCAACAAGCATATATAGGAATGCGGTAGGGGTGTGCCTCCATCCCCACCCCAATACAATCCTCTCCATTTCTTTAGCCGTCAATCCTTCTCCATGCTCCACCACGGCGTCACCAAACAAATTTCTCCCCTTCCCGTCTATCTACGCCGTCAGCCCTGCTCCATGCTCCACCACGGCATCACCATCCTTCTAGAATCCGTGACGTTCTTCCACCCCAATACCAAGTGTTCCTATCTTCCACCCTGCCATAGTGTTTTGAATTTGTATGCTTTGATGTAGCCGAAAACTATACATGACTTTTGGGTTTTAATGGCTTCGCTGATGGTTTTTTTATATATAAACTAGCTAGTATGCTTGATCTGGAACTCACTGACATTACTATGGCAAAGTGATTTGTCAAATTGGAGCAACTGTTGGATATTCAGGGCTGGACCTTTTTTTTTTAGTTTAGCTACTGGGACGTGTAGATTATGGGAAAGGGTTTGGATTTCAAAACTATTGACATTTGCTGACCGTGTATTGCATTAGAGAAATAAAAAGGTTACATTCATGGGGTCCAGAAATTAAATCCATTTTTTATTGTTATATCTGCATATGGGTAACTTGTCATTTAATTAAAAGTTGCTTTGGCTAGAAAATTATAGCTTTAGCAGTATATTGCCAGACTTAAGTCAGAAGTTTTTAGGCACTCTACATGTACGTTTACTCAACCAAATACTAAATAAATAAATAAATAAAATAAGAATAAATACTAGTGGACTATGAGCAAATGCAACATTGCCTGTGATCCCAAAAAAATGTCAGATTCTTTCTCACTTACTTCCATTGTTCTGTAAAAATCTGCATTCTGTTTTGACGATTGTATTGCGTTCTTTCTTCTTTTGGCTATCTGGACTGAATTCCTGTGACGTCATAGTTGCAAAGCTTCTTGATCTTGTTACGAACAATAACATGATTTTTTTTATTCAAGAAACCAACCATTTTGTGCTTAATTTCTTGCTTCTAATTTTGCCATATGTTTATCTTCTGTGATGTTCTCTGTTCTTCTTTTTTTTGGGGGGGGGGGGGGGTGGGGGGTAAAAGCTCCATTTGGCACATTTTGGAAAGATCTTTTCCCCCTACTTCGTTGAGTCATGAATCATTCCATCTCCTGATATTTCCCCTCACAGTTCTAGATTACAAATCCTTTGGAAGTTCTACAAAATTAACCAAAAGAAAAAAGAAAAAGACATAGACAACCTCAATTGTGATAAGACTCAAGTATTTGTGTTCGCTTGTAGTGTTTTTTTTTTTTTAAACAAAACCAATTTAATACTTTTTGACATTGTAGTAATTATTTCAAAATTAAGTTTATGGTGATTTTGTAGTCTGAATCATTCAATTTTGTCATTCTTTTCGATGTTAACGTCTGTAAAAAGGTCAAGTTTCTTTCTATGTATGGTTTAACATTAGATTTGAAAAGTTTGGTAGTAATATTAGACTGTTAATCATGGTTTACTAGTAGAAAGGGTCAAGTTTCTTTTAAATTATAGTTTGATCTGAGATGACCCTACTTTAATTTAGAAATTTAGCACGATTGTTAGCATATGAATCTATTTGTAGTCGATGAATGTATCATAATATTCTGCCACGTCTCACATTGTTCTGCCATATAACAAAATACCTCGGCCAATCCGAGGCTGGGCGTAGCGCAGGATCCAAAGACTAGTAAAACTTAAAAGAATATTTCCACGTTCCATTAAATTATCATTTTAACTAAAATTAACGAAATGTACTGGGACATAATTGTGAATTTAGAGACCCAAAAAAAACCCCTTAAAATTTTAATACTCCCTCCGTCCCACTTTGATAGTCCTGTTTCCCTTTTTTGTCTTTCCCAAATTGCAGTCCACTTTCCAATTGAAGAATGTAGTTGTATTTTCATTTTCCTAAAATACCCTTATTCAATACAAGTTGTTGTTGCTATAAACCCCATTTAATGAGAGTTGATTCTTTTTTTACCATCAATTCAAGTTCCCATAAAGTTGTACTCTATTTAATGTGAGGGTATTTTAGGAAAATAGCAATCTAAATTTATTTTTCCAACAAAGTTAACTACTTTTTCTTAAACTGTGTGAAAAAAGAAACAGGACTATCAAAGTGGGACGGAGGGAGTATTATTCTTTTCTTGCTTTTCTTCTTCTTTCACTCCTCTATTGCCAGACTGAAGGTACCACATTCCCATCAGCACACACTCAATAGCTTAGGCAAGTCTAAAACTAGAACCAACATTATACATCCGCTGCAAATGCACCCAAAAGGAAATCAAAGACCATCTATGCTCCCAACAATGCTTTGATCCCACATTAAACCTCCCTATAAATCCATCAAAATCCCAACTAAAATAATTAATCTCAATGAAAACTAGAATGATGGTACTAAAGTTGAAGAAATGTCAAGAGTGACGGAAAAAGGCTGTCATATGAATAAAATAAAATTGCTCTTACTGGTCTTGACTTTTAGAATTCATCAATTAATTTTTTTAAAACCGGTTTCATGGGTAATCTTTGAAAATTTCAGCAGCCTCAAAATTGTACCCATGATTGTCATTTTTTTTTTTTTTGGTGGTAAAATGAAGCTGAAGACAGAAGGTTGTAGTTTCATGTATATTCGAGACCCTCAATACCCTCGAACTTTAGTGGCAACAACTTTTCATCTCTACAAGTCGAATGTCAAGACACTCGCCCGAAAATCAAAATGCCTCACCTTAAAATCTCGATCTATACCAGTGAATGAGACACCAATTATGGCTTGGATTCCAAAACACTAGAAATTTTTTGTAATATTTTGAACATTAAAAATTCAGTAAGAAAGATGGGAGAGT